CATAATTCTAATAAATCAAGGCCGTCTATTAACTATAACCACATCAGTATGTCACATTTAGCAGGACGTGTAGTCAAATTTAAACGAAAATTTTACAGCACTGAAATGTTTTCAAACAGGATGAAATGTTGTACGATATTCCCATTGTGACACCTAATGACAACTTTGGATTACTTATCAAATTTGCCTTAATGGTCTCTTTTGATAATTCTCCAAACTCGAATTGCCAGAAAACTTTTAATGCAATTATTTTATAATGTTGAACTTTATTGCATGAGTACATGTTTTGAAAACGAGCGACGTTAGGAGCGAGTTTTCAAATTTATACGAATGCAATTAAGCAACATTATAAACGAGTTGCATACGCAATTTTTTGTATAACAGCAAAATAAAAAGAGAATCAAACTTAATTTTGCTTTGTTTTGACCTCGGGAATTTGTCATCTTTGCGAGAAAACGGTGGTCGAGTGTTCCGTGTACCGTTATCACCCCACGATTCTGTAGCTGCAATTGGCTGATGTGTGATGATATTAAATAATTCGTGCCGTAAACGCTAATACGTGATTTGTGCAGTAATGTGTCCCTTTATGAATGATTTCTTGCAATGGAAAACGTCGTTTATAATGCTGGTATACAAAAAGTGCTATTACCGTACTTGTTTCGTAAATATTATAACACTGTATTACACACATTATAACTACTCACGCTCATTTCTTCCTACTCCATTCCGCCCTGCCCCTTCCTGTTGGAACAATTAATTCCAATTTTGGACTTGGATTTGGACTCGGAGGTCATTGTGCCCTCGAAACGAATCAAATTAGTAGACTATTTTTTATGCTTTCGTAAAATTCTGATCTAAGTGGATTTCCTGTATTTGAATCGATTGGAGTGTACTTCCTCCTTCCTTTCTATCCACTTCCACCGTCACATACTTTTTCTCTACATCTCTTTACCCTCTGCATTACTGGTCTCCAACGTCCCCCGCATCCTGCCACATGGCTGCGTAGTTTTCTTTCACTTGAGTTCATTCGAAATCAGTAATGTAGCATAGGCTCGTATCTCTCTCTTTTACAGTTTCGTATCTCTGTTACGTACGGAAGCAAAACAAGGGGCCATCTCAGCATTCGCTTACCGCGTCAGTGGGCACAGGGAAACTGGGCGAAAAACCTGATTGAGATGGGGGTCAGCTGAAATGCAATACTTGTTGCTGTGATTTTACATTCTCCTCCACTGCTTACACAGTACAGATATTGTAAGTATTGTAAAGCTGCAGGAAGAAAATGGAGATTTTTCGACATGAAACTCGTTATTGCCGGGTCTTGATAACGAAGTGTATAAATCTTGATCCAATATGGAGTAATAAGTGATGATCCTTGATCCTCTAACACGTCGTATACTCAGAATTCACGTTTGGTGGGTTCTTGATATCAAAAACTTGATTCACGGCAATGATAGATTTTCAATGAAGTTTCTCCAAAACTCAAAGGTTTTCTGAGAAAAAGAGCTTCAAATTTCTCTTTTACATAAACTTATAAATTTTCTCAAAAAAGGTTCCAAATTTTTCAACGACAAAAATATACATAGGACAAAGATTTACACTCTAGTAAAATTCTTAAAATCATGCTTCAGTTACGGTTACCATGACGAAACCGAAAAATTAGAAAATGTGGAAAACATGTAGTTTTGGCGGTGAAAAATGGCAGCTGGTTTTCTTGAAACTTTTTGTGCAGGTTTCATGCACTAAATAACTTGTCATAAACGTCATTTTACTGTGGTATTTTTCTTTTTCAAAAATTACAAAATTGTATGCTTTAAAATATTTCTCTGGTCATTAATTAATGGTGATGGGTACACATTATTTCATTTATGAGGTCAAGTGCATCAAATGATGTCTTATAAAGTTTCTCGGAAAAGTAAAACTTTTCTGTGAAAATGCTCAAAATTCCGCACTTTCAGAAGTGCTTTGGACTGCATTTTCTCGAAAACTACACCGATTTCTTTCTCTAAACTTATGTGCGATTAGTACTAAATGCGCTGACACAAATTAATTTTAATAATTAATTACATAAATGAACTTTTGAATGAATATTTTTACTGCAGTTAAAATTAAATTAACGGCCAGTTATTTTACATTATTGCATTTGCGATAATAACCGCTTCAAGTAATTTCGTATGTAGTTTCTCAAAACTTCTCACCGGGAGAGGTGAGAAGTTTTGAGAGGACATCAACTGATATCACTGCAGTGCCTCTGACTGGGAGGTCCTAGACTCGAGACCCGGCGGTGGCAGGATTTTCACCTCTAGCTATATAATATAAGTTGGTTAAAAGAATTATTTATTTTTAGTATGTTGGAAAGGTGCAGGAGGCATGCCTGCAAATTGGATGAAAAAACTTTAGTATGAAAATGCACTTTATAATAGTTCCATAAGGCAAAAGGCTGGAGACTTGTTGGACATAAGTATACAAGGACTTGACACTGCAGTTTGAAAGATGCCACAAGAATGATTCTATGTGTAACACCAAATGCATCATTTCAGTAATAGCTTCTCATACAGGTCATAATAAAATAAGCAAACATTGGATGATATCAGAAGAAATGGGATAACAAAATTTTTCATAACTCCAAAAACAAATTTCACAAAGCAGATAAGCAACTTTTTAACAAAAATAAATGTACAAATTCAGTTCTTTATTATGTATTAAAAATCTGAAAAAAATTTGTTTTCTTTTTTTCACAAAGGTATCTCAACATTTCATCTAGTCTACCAGTAATGTAAATACATACAATATTTTTTAGTTGTTGTTGGTACAAGAGCAGAACCATTACTTTATCTTCCAAAGGCTAAGTGGCCGTATCAAAACTTTTTTGTTACATGAAAAGTTCATTTTGTATATTTATACTCAATATAATATTAAGAAAATCCAATCTTCAGCATGTTTTCATTACGAGGGAAATGTGAAATTCCTTCAAGTAAATAAATGCTGCCATCATCATCTTCGGAAACACTCAAGTTAATACAAATATTCAAACACAGTTCCTGAAATAATAAATGTAATTAGAAACTGCAAGAAAATACAGAAACTAAATCAAGATGCACCTTCTTGAGAAAGTTCTAAGGACTATTTCTAATTACATCAGAACAGTGCACCTTGATTGCATACACTTGCTTCGTTTCCTCACATACAATTTTTGAAATGAGAATGACAAAATTTTAAAAAATCAATTTAAAATAGTACAATAATGAAAACCATTTATCTATGATGGGGTGGTAACAGCTGAATAGCATACTGTGGTATTGTGGTAGCAAAATGATAACATAGTGTAAATTTGTAAATAGACAGATTTGCAAATATGTCTCTCTTCTGGACAGGCACAGATAAAATATTGCCTTATGCACATTTTAGTTATTGTAACATCATAGTGAAACTCATATTGCTTTTGCATCAATCAACTAACAATTCATGGTGCTAAAGTATTACTCATTTGTAATAAGTCTATTTAAAACTTGTTATTTTAATAACTACTAGCTGGACTTGAATGAACATTGTCCACTCAATGTTTTAAAAATTAAAACAACTTCAGATGAAACTCAATTTCAATAATTTCTGATTAACCATACTAGCCCATGGCTAGAATCTATGTAATGATAAGCTATGCTATACTCCAAGTTCCAAGTAGTAAGCCTGTATTTGTGAAGTAGAGAGAATTCTGCTTTGGCTTTTATGAAAACTTAACAGAGTATTTGCGTGTTTTATTTTGTGTGCTGTATTGACTGAATTAAATGTATGTGAACTGCATTAAATACGCGTTTGATGTGTCCTACATTTAATCATACCACAGAGGCAAGTTTTCCATGAATTGTTACTATTGAAATGAAAAAGAAAAGAAAAAACAACAACAAACAAAAACACCCCACCCCCCACCACCAAATCACATTAATGGGGGAGCCCAGGCACCTGAATATGCATGCCATAGATATTCTTAGTAGATAGAAAGCAACATAATGAAAAGAGAAAACAGGATGGTTTTTATGGTACATACTTACAAAAATGACTTTTCACATTACAGATGCTCAAAAAACCAGAGTATTGCATTAATTAGTTCATCCATTTCAACTGGGACCTGGCTCAAGCTATGATTGTCATCGTACAACAGCAACCTAAATTTAAGAAGAAGGAAATTAAGTTAATTTGTATGCCTGCCACAGTCCTAATCAGTTCATGCAGTGATGCAACCACAGTACATGTATCAATTTAATATGTATAGTGATGCAACCAGGATGGGGGGGGCCTTCAGTTAAAGTGTTATGGTGTCCGTTTTCTTGTAAAGAAATTTTCATTTATGCTAAATTGAAAATATATTTGTTGACTTAATGTTAAAACGTATTACAAGATATTGAATGGCTTCCAATAGGACAGAAAATTATTTTTGGCTTGGGAGGGGACTGTAGCCACTCCCACCCCCCGAGGTTGTGCCACATACATGCAAATACTTTCATTTCATAAATGTCTGATATGTTATCTAATATTTCAAGATAATGGCTCTAACAGTTAAAACTTTTTGTTACAGGTAGGAAAAAAAAAGTACCAGGAACAAAGTACTCAGCTTAGACTGTAATTCACAGATACACACTACTCAAATTAAATCCTCTGATTTCTCTTATATTAATAAACTTTTTTTGTGCCATACTTTGTTACCACATTTTTTACGGTGCTGCCTATAGAACTCAATTTATTCCCCACCTAGTTGGGTGCTCCATGGCATTAGCAGTGCAGTGTATTCTGGGGCATTATTATTAATTTTGTTCGTTTGTTCGTTCGTTTGCTCACTCGTTCCTCTGTGTGTATTAAATTTCCAGGTCAGAGCTGCTCAACAGGAGTCAAATAGCTAGTTGATTTTCAATGTGTTACGTCAAACCTCTTGAGGGCAATATTATTATTCTGTTGTAATGATAAGATAGAAATGAGTGCTATGAAGGAGTACATCAAATATTATGCTGAATAAGTCTCGCCACATAAAATAAGGCATTAATTCAATAATGTAGTACATAAAATTACGGTATTTTTTGTCGCCATTCTCTTGCAATTTTTCCTCTGAAAAATTAATGCACAGTTTGTTCTTGTTGAAACTGTTGTGCATACCCCTTGGGTCCCCTTTATGCAAGGTTTAGAAAAAATGTTAGGAAGGTTCCCCTTTTGTTATCATACTTTGTTTTCACGTGGTTTGCTTTCAAGGAGTAATAGAAATCCATTCCTTGACTTCCAGGAACTCTTGCATCCTTTTTTCCAATAAGTAACAAAGTTGGAGGTGAAGAAGGAGAGCAAAAGTTAAGAGGAGAGCACTTCTTCATTTTCTCAAATGCTTCAATAGGGATATTTCCAGTAATGTTATAAGGGACATTTGCTTCAACACATGACCTGTACAAAACAGAATAAATGCAATGAAAACCCTATTATTAGTGCAACATCAATTTGTGCAACACTATTATTAGTACATTAGTGAAAATTATTATTCTACACTAACCAGTCTGGAATATCAGATATATAGAACATGGCAGCCACATCAATCACAGGATTTATAGCAACTACAGCTTTGTAGTCAGTCTACACACACAAAAAACATATTCAATAAGAATATTGCTCTTGTATATCTAGGTAATTTTAGGTTATAAATACAAAATGTTTAAAATAAAGTAAATTATCTTTAGTAACTCCATAAAATATATTTCTAAAGAATAACGTATGAATGAAAAAATTTTTAATCCACCTATCTTACAGGAAACTGGCCACTAAGATGAGTGACAAGGAATCCACCATGTGATCCCCCATAGAGTAGAACTTTATCTGCACTATGGACTGGAAACTTCTCAAGCACTTCTTTAGTAGCCAACCTCACATCTTTTACATCAGTAACACCAATGTTACCAAGAAGGAAGTTCACATTATCTTGCCCAGCTCCAATAGAGCCACGATAATTGATCAACAACACTCCAAATCCTAAATGAATATCAAGTACAATTGTATTAATAGGCAGAGTGGTGTTAAAAATCAAAATCACTACATCCTGTGCAAGGATAATCCTGCATCATTTATTCTCAAGAGGAATATATAAAGTATTTTATGTAATTTTTGCATTCTGTTACCGTCAAAAATCTTGATACAATATCAATTACAAATAACATTGCTTTTCTGTGTCACTAAGTCATGGACTCAGAAGGTCATTTCTCTACTGTAAACACACCCTTTAAACTTTGGGTGCAGGAGACATTAGGCAAACTTTAGGTGCAAGATAGAACGTTCTTTTTCTCCAGTTCAATATTGGGTATTTGCTTCACAATATCAACACTGAAATTTGCATTTTCCTTCCTTTGTATCTGTAGGATGTAGTTTCCTTCAGTGTCATTGTACAAATGTTAACCAAGTTGAATCTTTAAATGCACAATCTTCTATATATTATAGAACCAGAGAATTTGTCAACAAAGTGCTGTGCAGTAAAAAAGGATTACTCAACAAAACTGAGAAGCATGAAATGTTCTGTACAGTCTTTTCCAAGAAAAATGAAGCCCAAGCTTTGATTTTTTTAATCTAAGTTAATGGAGTTCAGTTATCTCAGTTAACTTAATGTATCATAAGATATCTCACACTTTTACTGAAAATAATAATTTTTTTTTTTTGAGCTGTTCATATAAACAATGTTCAACTGCATTCAAGGTTTTTCTTTTTAAATTATTGTTAGTTTTTTGATGTTTAATACAGTGACTTCCATATTCAAACTCACACACAAATGCCAATTAAAATTGGTTTATCTTTTTGTTGATTCATTGCGAAACATTTAAGTAAATAAACAATAACATAAAATAAACATTACCTAGAAGATTAAATAGAGCAATATTCATGAGAAACATGTTGCAATTAGATGAATGAGGACCCCCATGAGGTAAGACTATCAAAGGTAGATCACCAGGTCGTGGACTAGTATTAGGACCAATATACATAGCAGAAAATGTATCTAGAAAATTAGAACACAAAACACATAAGTGTCAAAGTTAATGAAAGGAATAAAAATAAAAATTAAACAACATAATAATCGTGCCACTATTGGCATTATTAGAATTCTTTATTGTTCATTCACTTATAATTTTTAAATTCTGATAGTTGTTTCAAATGATCAATGTTAACATAAAATTACTATATCTAAGTTTGCTATTTACAGAGAAATGAAACTTACTGCAGGATGTATTTTGTTCTTCCTTATCAACAATTGTGAGATAGTGATATGCAATTTCTTTCAAAATGAAATTTGGCCTGGTTTCAGATATTTGAAACCAATTAACTGATGCACTCTCTTCTTTGTCAATGTTCTTCAAGATATTTTGCAATTTCCCAAGCAAGAGAACAGGAGGTTTGTTAAAAGAACTGTTCGAACATATTACAACATCATTCCACACATCCAAAGCTGTTAGACTACCTTCATCAATCTTTAAAGGTGTTACATAATTTGTATCTGAAATATATTGAAGGCCATTATTGAAGCACAAAGAAGAAATGCAATTAATTCCTTCAACAACCGCACAAAAACAAATCAATTTCAATAAAAATACAGATAACAAGAATTTTCTTCCTTCTTTTCTGGTTCTATAGGCCACTTCATGCCATGACTTCCTCCAATACCTGTTGAAGGATTCCTAGAATAGTGGGATGAGCCATTCAAAAATTGGTGATTAACCCTGCATTCGGCTCTGCGTATGGAAATGGGAGCAGGGTAGGGAAGGAAGGATTGCAGGTGGTCTATGGCCTTATTTCTATGATGCTGCTACATTCTCCAGAAAAAAACAGGGAATCCACAGAAAACCATTGATTAGAGCAGTCTGCTGACAGCATAAACTCTGCCAGACACCACAGACTCACTGATCTTAAACCCCTTCGGGCAAATCACTGGCATTTGCCAGAGATTAAACACATCTCCCAATCCGTGATATGTTCAAGCCTTAAGGTGTTGCATTCAAGGTTCAGTGAAAAGCGAATCTTTCAGTTGTTTCAACTGGCACAAATTAAAAATTTATCAATCACAGGGCAAAATTGAAGAAGATTCAACATATTTTTCATCAATATTGACTAACTGTTTTCATTCCCACTATTTTTTTATCAAGTAAAGAAATTGCATAAATATTACATATATTTTTTACAAACATTTACATAGAGTAATGGATTAGTAGAAACTATAGCTGGACTTGGTGTCATTAGACTAATCCTAGCCCACTGAACCCCCATCAGTACACCACTGCAAAGCAATGCCAGTTCAGTCAACTACAAAACCAAATGCAAAACTATACAAAGTTGTTACCTATTCTTTATGAAAGTGATAAGTTGACTATGCAAAAAACAGTTAGGAAATTAGTTTTAAGTAACTAGTGGTGCTAATCCAGCACATATTTTCTCACCCGTGTCTCATGCAAAATTACGAGAAAAGTATTCAAATTTTCGAAAAATTGTACATGACCTTATTTCAGAATCTATCTTTAAGAAACAGATTTCATTACAGGAAAAATCTATCTTTAACATTTTAGATGTAGAAAGAAAAATTTTGAACTTTTTCAATTTTTGAAAAAATCAGGGTTTTCAACGAACCTGCACCATTCTCTTAAACATCCTTCATAACAAAAAATAAAAAATGATGGAGCTTTTTTTTTTATTATAAAAATATTACAGGCGATTCATATTAAGTACCTCCAAAACTAAAATATTGGTTTCAAATTCCAGTGGCCGTGACATCAGCCAGAGCATTGGGGAAATTAAGATTGAAATTGGCTGAATGGTTTAGTCGCTATCATTGTTCACAGATGGATCGACAGACATTTGGTCATTGTTCGATTTTTCCGTATCAAGAATCTACAAAACATATTCTGGCTACACCATATGTTAGAGGATTTATTTTTAAATTTTGCATCACAATTTATCAACTTTTTCATTACCAGAGTCCTTTAATACTTTTTTTTTCAAATATTCACTGTTTTTATTCCCAGCATTACAGAACTTTCTCTCCACTTAGTAAAAATATTTTTGGATAATCATAAAAACAAATGAAATAGTATCACAGCATGAGCATAGTTTGGCCTGTGTCATTCTACATAATCTATAATATGACACTTTCTAACAAAACATTTTGAATTAAAAGCTATCTTAATGTACCAACCACACTTTACTCAAAGTCGGGCATTTATATAGTATCCTTAGGATGGGGAAATATAACAGCTAAGGTGTGGATTTTGATAATGTAAAACGTAGAGAAACATGATCAATAAAATACTTTTAAAATGCTATAACAGCAAAGAAAATGGACTTAAATTTTTTATCAAAACAAATTCCGATGTGTAAATCAAGCTGTTGGATACATTACAGATGTAATCGCAGTGTTAGACACGGGTGAAGGTGTGGAATGTCCGTCCTCCCTCAAAAAAGGCAGAGAGAAAACAAATTTAAATGGAGAAAACAAATTATAAAGTGCAGGAAAATTGAAAATGAGGGACACAAGAAAAAAATTGTAGAAACCGCTAATATGTGTCGAAAAAATAACAGCGTGTTCTATCTTTAGCCTTTTAGTTGCTAATGGGATTCCTGAATTTTGCTGCATTTTAATCCAGTGGTACGTACAGAAAATGTCTTCAAATGCCCATCTCCCCCCCTAAGATTTGTCTCTGGATCCGCCCCTGAGATTAGTCAAATAGATTGGACAAAACCCTCGCTATTTTTTTTAATTTCTTACCAGTGAATAACATTGCTGTCAGAGGAACATTCGACAACTATTTCTCTGGACATACAGAATGGTTCAGAATAAATTTTAAAATTTTCAAGCATGAAAGGGTGGGGTGGGTCAAAGTTGATCGCTTTTGGCCAATAAACACACAATGCAAAAACTCATTTAGAGGAGTTACACAGAGGACTTAGAGCAGGGATATCAGGGGTATTTTAATGTCAACATGTAGGCAAGTGAATCAGTTGTTCTTTGAGAATCTAATCCTTTTCCAGGCAACAAATTTGAAGAATGATGTAACCGGACAGGTGGGGTCCAACAGGCCCAGGAGTGTTTGGGACGGAATTATGCTTACAGATGTACATTTTGGACAGGAGTATTGAAACAGATTTCTCTAATATAGTTGTTTAATTTGTCAAAACTTTTAAAATACTTTATATTTAAAAAAACAAAATTAATTAATTTATTTTTTTATTACAAATTACACACCGTTAACCTGGGTATGTTCACTACAGGCAGGTTTGAAACAGTTGCTACTTTTCTTTGTTTCCTACTTCTTTCACAAGGGCACAAACAACATATTTTTTGAGCATGGTTATAATTTTTCTGAGTCGTAGAATCTGTATCTTCCCTGATAACTTGTGTGATTGACACACGACACTTGTCATTCAATCCTGTTTCATGTCTCCTTACATTTTGTGTATGATCCAAATTCTTTGCAATATCAACAATAAATAATTGTATGATCTAATATTTTCTAACATTCAGTCAGGATCAGCCTGTCACTTTGCAGTTTTTCCGGAAAACTTTGATCGCACAAGACTTCAAAACTCACTCTCTTGACTCTTGGCTACATACTAACCCACAGCAACACTGTCTACAAATGTGGCATTCTTAGAATCGCACACAAGTAGTGTCAGATAAAATCCCGATGAAATAATGTTGCACAATCTGATATCCATCCATCCGTTTGACATGAAGCAGATGAAAAGTAATCGACAGAACAAAAGCAAAACATGCAATATTACACGCAGATTAAGTGACTTGGTCCAATAGAACCGCTTGCCTGGTTGCGACTGAAATCTGATAAAGATTTTTTAATTTATTATTTAGTAACACTTTCATAAAATGGTTGTGGGTACATTTAAAAACACCATAGCAAACAAAGTCATAAAAAAATAAACTAATATCTTCTATAGTTTTTGCGTATAATTTTGAACAATTTGTTTCTGGGTCCAATAGATCGTGGTTGCCCAGATTAATTGTATATTTTGCAGACCCCCACCTGAACACTTCATGTTCTTCATCATGATTCTGCAGAAGACCCTGCCTATTTTTCTGGAGGATGTACCTCTTGCTCTGAAGCATTGTATGAGAGATGATAGGGTACCAACCAGTACACTTCTCTGCCTCCATCTGAGAGTACTTGTATGAGACACGTCACTTGCGTAATTGGAAGAGGTGGTTCCATTGCATTATCTCTGATGTTTGCAACTTTGTCACTCCTTGATTTTTCTGTGGGGTCACACGATGTTCGTAGTATTTGAAATGCCAGTGAAGGATAATCTAGTGGTCAGAATTTCCGCTACATCCTACTGCAACCATACTACACACACAACTCTTTGCCAGCAGGCTGGTTGTCCCTGAGGTATACCTCAGCAGCACCAATATCCGTGCAGGTCAAGTTACACCAACAGCAGTGTGATATTTTGAGTGTATCTTTAGAAAAAGATTTCCTGTCTCATGATTATTCCCCAAAAGTAATAGAAGTTTGTAATATTTACTCTGAATAGCAAATCAAGCTGCTGAGCTAGTGCTTGTCTTATTTGTTTATTTATTTTATAAAACTTGAATAATGGTGTTTCTAAAAATATAATTGAAGTAATTGTGATACCTACCTAGGCTAACCAAAAAGGAATTAACAGCATACTTTTGAGGAGTGCTCAGCACTATTCCATTTGAATTTGCTGTCCAACAGCGTTTGGGTAATGAAAGATTAAACAGCCCATAGAATGATTCTCCTCCTTGAATTTGTATTTCCTTACTTACTGTATCAACAACTATTCTTGACTGTACAAAAATCATAACAGTATTTTAAAATGTGTTTTAAAAATTGTAAACAAAAAAATTACGTCATAAAAATCGGAACACTACAAACCTTATTGAAAATTATATAAATCCAAATGAAAGTATAATATCATTTCTTAATCGGAATTAAATAAACTACAAGATATAAAGTACTTTGTATCTTCCAATTATTTTCCCTTTGACAATGATACATTCTTTTTTAAAATTTTGTTTTCAAACCCATCATGTTTGAAAAGATAGCTCTTAGGTACACATTTTCGACAGCTAAAACAAACACTTTACCTCTTTTGTTGCCCAAGAGAGGCACATCAAACGGTGAGCAGAATGATGGGGACCCCCTGCATCCCTTTCTAACCACACAAGCCTTTCTCCATTAGGAGAAAAGCGAGGTGAACGCACAGCTTTCCCTTTGGCTGATAAAAGACCTGCAAAGGAAAAAAAGGTTCAACTACACTTCCACTAACTTCGGTAAAATTATTTTGAAAGTTACAGATTCTTGCAACAAGCAATTGAAATTGAAGTAAAAGAAAGAATTTAAAAAAGATAGAGGGGTTTACATTCCTTTAAAAATAAGATAGAAAATGTTCACAGAATTTCCAGACTAATAACAATCTGTTTTGTGTTTCCCTGATGCTGATAAATTTTCTTCTCCCTCCCCCCTCCCCCTCTCACTTCAAAACATACATCCATCTGTCTGATCCATCAACAATACTAGCCCCTATAACAATCACAGGAAAAAAAATGAAAATTCTCTAATTAATCTTGTCTGACTTGAGCAGTGGCGACTGGTGCCCCCAACAGACTGGAGGGTGCACCTCCATCGAAAGACTGAATTGTAATTTCCAAAATTCAAAATACAAAAATATAATAAAAATGTAAGATATTCAAATTAATTCAAAGTTAAATAAAAGTCTAAAATGAATCATTACTTACATAATTTTATGCGCTGTGACCGAGTCAAGTATATTATACACCTCCCGCGCACCTGGTTCTGGCTTTAATTTCCATTGGACACTTAAGTTCGACTCCAGCACATCGCAACAAGCAATATTGTTTTCATACATTTCACACAAATAAAATTATTTTATTTTAAAAATATCACAACCCTGGTATATTTTGTAACAAAGATCCTTCCATAGAAACGCTCATATTCTACCAGCGCTCTCCGTGGCATAACTGCAGCCTGCTGCATCTAACAAGAAAGAGACTTCCTTCCAGAACGGCCAATTTTACACAAAAAATTCATCAAGTGTACATTCTATATCAGTAAATCTAATATATATATATATATATATATATATATATATATATATATATATATATATATATATATATAAATATATAAAACAAATACTCTAAACATCATAAATACTGCATTAAATACCGTCAATAAGTGACTGAACTTGTGTACTTTCAATAACAAGAGAAATTCATAAAATTACTTTGCAGCAAGGCAGACAAAGATAGAATTTTGGTATTCCCCTGAGACTCCTTTTGCCACGCAGCGCTAGAGTGCCACCTGTCTGGTTGTCCGTGTTAATTTGAAGGGCTGCAGAATAAATGCAGTAAACCCACTAATACAGCCAAGAGCATGGTGCAATATTTGGCAAGGCACCAGGCCCAGAGAGAGCGACAGTTGAACAGTCTTTGGTTTCAAAACGATTTTATATAGAACGATATTGCTCCGATATTTTAATATTGAATGTCATTAAAAGGAAAATGTATATTTCTAAGATATTAAGAGATTTTTGTTGATTAAATCCGAGGGTTGTGCAATCGTGCAACCTAAGCACAAGCCGCCACTGGACTTGAAGCCCTGTGGATTTGAAACAAATTCTTTGAATTTTGGGGGTATTCACATAAATATGTTAGGACCATGAAAATAGAGTTGTTTCTGAAATGAATTCCATATGTAAAGACAAATGTCATATAATGTTTTTAAACAATATTAGTAATTTATGAATGATTTTTAATAAATTATGGGCAAACTTTAAAAGATTTTCTCAATCTTGACGAGACGTACCCTTTATTTCTTTGGCAATTAAAATAACTATTATTCAATAAAAGGAAACTTTATGAACCGATCAGATTACAACACACAATATTTCACAACCTCAATGATAAAACATGTGTTGTAATATAACTAGTTTATTAAGTTTCCTTTTCTGGAATAACTGTTGTTCTGATTGTCAAAAATATAGAGGATATCTCCCTTTAAGATTAAACAGGCTATCATGCCTGGACAAAATAAATAAACAAATAAATAAAATGAGGATTTGGTTCAACAAATTAGACAACTCTGAACACACAGATTTCCAGAGACAACAGTCATTTTATAAAATAAATGTAGTAAATAAGTTAATGATAGGAAACAGGACTGTTACTCATAATACTAATTATAGTTAAGTGCAATTACCCAACCACATCAGCGAACGGCTAATAATGATACAACAAATAACACACCTTCAAAAATCCAGATCATTACTGGTATAACAATTTTACATAATTTTAATCTTTTAATCCCCATTTTATTGTTATTAATGGAAAAACTGTTTGTATAAATAATCTAGTACTTACTAAAATCTCCATTAACAGTCAAATGGAATATATAACTTTCTCTATTTGTACAAAAGATTAATCCCAGTTTGCGTGGTACAACATTCCATACAACACCAACCACTCCATTTCCATCCGGAGTCCAAATCACTTGACCAGGAACAAAATTCTCTGGGATACCATCCAAAATGGAAATTATATCTGTCTTCAAATTGCAAATTCCAATAACCGATTCACATTTACCCAACAGCTGTTCACCCCAGTCTTGTCTGAATAGATATTCATTTCCCTGAAATTGAAGCCCAGTTATGAATAAAAGAAATGAATAAAAGTATTTCAGGCCATTACCACAATCTTACCTTGGTCACCTTTGAATCTTCATTCCCATTATTTTTCTTTTCTTGAGATTTAGGCTTGTAGAAAGGTTCAGATTTAGGGTACTTCTTTTCTGCTATGTATAATAATTTCTCCTCACAAGGAGACCATTCAAATGAACCCAACTCTGCTACAAAAAGTTAATAAAGAACATGTCAATTAATTATATCAATTCTGAAAACATTTTGTAGGATATAAAAAAGGTCAAAGTAGCACATCAAAACTTCAACATAATTTTGTTAAATTAAGCGTTAATCACCAAAATTTGAATACATTTGTAATTTTACTTGAAAACCTTTCAAACCTATAACATTTAAAGACTCATATAAATTATTTAAGAAATTTGCTATTCACGTTCAAAAAACAATCCTGCTTAGAACTTTTTCCAAATTTTAAGTCACAAGTTTCACTAATATGTTTTCTCTATCTCAAATATCATCCACACATTCTATTGCCTTTTCAATTTTCTATCTGTATCTGTTCATTTCATAATGCCCAAATCTGTCTTGCCCAGTTTCACACAAACATCTTCATTCAAATTATTCATACCCAAGAAATAAGCAATTGAATCAAATCCAATCAAGGGTTGCATTATGAATTAAGCTCTGCTTCTGGACACTTACCATCAGAATAAACATCTCCATGCACATCAAGGGCTCCTAAATCATAATTTTTCAACAAGTGCGTTTTCTCCCATACTTCTAGAAATTGCTGTTTTTTGGTACTGTTTGAATTATCAGGCAGTTCCCGAAGCACTGCGCTGTTTTCTTCAGTTGGAGAAACCGAAAACGACAATCTATACATTTCAAAAGCATAACTTAATTTAAAGCAACAAGGCAACGGAACTTACTTTATTTTTAAAAAGGAAAAACTAATTATGCTACCAATACATAGGAAACATTTTCTTGTAGTAGGGCAAGAGTGGGGCTATGTTGCCATGTTCTTTTTCAATTCTGCTCTTTAAGCTGAATATAAATAATTTTAATAAAACTGAAGCATCCACTAGTTGAAAAGAATTCTGGCAACATTATGAGTGCATAAAAACGATTATATTTAAGTAAAATACAGGAAGCTTCCAAGAAACTAAAATTTGTGAAGACGAAATATACGGTGAAAGTGGTAATTTTATGAATATCCAATCACGCACTCTATTCTTAATTATATAGAGCGTGTCATTTCAGGTCGTAAGAAATACACCAGCATGTTCATCGTAATATTAGAATAATTCCTTTACCGATTTGGCTCCGAAAATAAAAAGCGTTGTTTTCTTTTTTGTTGCAATTTTTTGGCTTTCGTCGTAGCCTGGACGTCATCGCAACTGTAGGCGCATTTGCAAGACTCAAAGTGCAGTTGCAGACAAGGGAGGTCATCTGCGAACAACGAGTGCTCTGCAATTCTGATGGTTGGCTGCTAAGGTTCTGACGGCCTAAATTGGCGCTCAGTCAATATATTACTCTTGTTATTACCATCTCAATTGCGACAAGAACTGGTCAAGAAAGTGATGTGCAGAAACGAAGCAAATGATTTAATACTCCGATTAAAACGTAGGGCGAATTGTCTATTGATCAGCTGGGTCCCGGATATCCAAATAGGAGCTTCAATACAAAAAAAAAAATGTTGGAAAGTAAGTAATTGTTCCCAATTGAAATAACAAATCCAGTGAGTACTTTGATGGTTGAAGAACAATTTGGGTATTCTTCGTTGTCTATTTGCTTATAAAAATATTTAGGGACAGCAGCCCACTCAGTGCTCCGCACTGCCATCTGTGAGAGGGGAAACATGACCGTGAAACGCACGTCCGCCACATGCGGAAATTACATTGTCACTTCCCTCCAGTCACAATGTCAAGATATTGCCCCTAAATGAGAAGTTGTTCGTAGGCTTTCGTAAAAATGTAGAATACCCAGGCGGAGATACTTAGTACAGGACACTCCGAGCGTCCCTAGGGGAGACTGATGGGGGACTGTCACTTATTTTCAAGAAGTCTAATTGCAGTAGTTTTTTTCTGTCATTTTTCTTTCTCACTCTTACTTCAAACGAGATAGTATTGTAATCGAACGGCGGAAAACGGCGAATTTTCGTCAGAAAAACTCTTATTACCAGACCCTGGTAACGGAAAAGTGGAAAATCTTGTTCCCGGCCCTTTCTCAAATTACTTCCTCTAACACGTCGTGTAGTCAAAATCCTAGATTTGTGGGTCCTTGATACTGATAAGCCAATTGAAGGCAAAGCGTCTAAATGACCGGCTGTGCGTCCGACCACATGTGGTCAACGTTACCGCCTAAACCTTTCAGACGATTTTCTCCAAAATCGATATTTCCCGATCAATTTAAAGAAACTCGAGACCCTGCAAGTTTGAAAATAATATTTTAATTTTTAGGGGTACTTTTCATGGAGCCTAAACAATATTAAAAAGAAGATACGGTTAAAAGAATGGTGCAGATTGAAACACTAATTTTTCAAAAATTGCTAAAGTTCACATTTTTTCGTACTCCTACAACTACAATATTGAAGACCGATTTTTTCAGTAATAAAATTGTTCTTTAAAGACCAATCTTGAAACGTACAATTTTTCGAATAAATGAGTATTATTCTCGTAATTTTGCGTGCAATAAAGGCATTCATTAACTACAAGAAAATTCTGCAAACTGATAAACATTCTTTTACAACAAAAAGGCTTCAATTTTTTCTTTAAATGCTCTTTTTCTAGTCATCAAGAACGGTAAAAAAAAATTCGCACTAGTCATCTTCCCGTCGAACACGCTGTATTTTCGAAAGTTGCAAAAACGGAATATTCCAAAACTTACAAATTTGAAGATAGGTTTTGGTCTTCAACAAAATATTTTCTAAAAAATCAGATCTTTAGAAAAGGTAATGAACATTTTTTTTTTGAAGAGTAGTTTTAGCGCAATTTCTGTTTAAAATTAATGAAATCTCAAAAAGCTCCATTTTTTTCTTCTTCGGATAGAACAAAGAACGCTTAAAAGAATGGCGCAGGTCTCGAACAAGCTGGATTGTTGAAAACTGCAAATTTAGAAATAATGCGAGAAAGTAGGTGGTATTGAAGCATCACTTGTTTACTTTCTCTTTTATACGAACGTAATTAGGCGAGAGAGTATTGTAAACATGAGGCGAAAGTCCACGATTTTTCCTCAGAAAAACACTTTTTGCTGGGCCCAGATAACGAAAAAGTGGATAACTTCCTCCAACACGTGTTTTCCAGGGCCTTGCTACTGAGAAATCGATTGACGCCATAACGTCTGTGGACAACGCTACAGCGCCTAAACCGTTCAGAGAATTTTCGTAGGTAATACCACGAGAGCTTTGGAAATTGTCCATGAATCCCCAACTCGCGAAGCGAGGAGGGGATTTATCTGAGAATTTTCAAAGCACGAATGGTATTTAATAGGACTATTCCACGAGTGAAATTATGTCCAACAGTTTCAAAACGCGCCAAATATTGAAAATAACTGAAAGCGTGTTGTGTTATAGTATATGACAGTTTATGATTGGCCGGTAGGTAGAAGCGGTAAGAAAAATCGGATAGAAAAAGTGATAAACGTTTTGAGATACACCGCACTGACGGATGCATGGTATGTATATTTAAACTCTTGGTTTTAATTTCACGAGTGGAATAGTCTCCAAAATTTATATCCCAAGATCGATCCGAACATGAGGCCTTGCGAGTTTGAAAATGATATTTGGTATTGGTAGTATTTTACCTGACACCTCCACAACATTTTCTAAATATTCTCTACAATGGCACCAATTTTTAAAAAAATCCTTGGTTAGCATAAAAGACGCTTACAAGAGACGTAGGTCTTATTTTCGTTAAAATCTCTGAATTTTTGAAAATTGGAATAGTTCAATTTTTTTTTCGGCGAAATTCTACAATTATAATAGTGAAGATTTCGATTTTTTCTCAATGAAATCTTTTCTTAAAATTGTAACGTTAAAATTACGTCATGTACAATTTTTCGAAAATGAGTAATTTTCGCGTAATTTGGCGTTCAATTGAAGACAATTTTAAACCATTATTTTCTCCAAAACATATTTCATATTTTTTTCTTTAAATTTTCTTCTCTTAACGACGATAAAAAAAGGGGTGCTGGTCCTATTTTCGGCAAACACACTATATTTTCGAGAACTGCAAAAAATGAACATACCAAAAGTACACTACTGAAAATGAAGAGCATTTTGTCTCTAATAAAATTTGCAAAGTTAGAATTATTGCGAGAAAATGTGCTGTTGGAGCACCACTGGTTTACTACTGTCGTAAACGACGAATTAACTAAAAATATCTCTTCAGTTTGATCAGAGGAAGAGGCAGAAAAAATGTTTAACTTTTGCAATTTTTCCCCAAAATTCGGAGATTTCAACAAAAATAAGACCAGTGCCAAATTTAAGCTATCCGGCGAAAAAGTTGAATAAAAAAAGAAGCATTTTTGAGAAAATTTAGAAACTATTCTCGAGACTTCACGTACTTGGTTGAGAAAACCCCGCAAGCCGACGGTAGGCCTGCGCCGATCTCACTATCGAGCGGGGGACCAACGCCACCTCGAGTTAAAAACTGCACTTTACTGCAATACGGGACTAACGGCCACATCAGATGACGTGCCCGGAATCGAGGCATCTAATAACAATACTAATAATATAACTCGTAAACATTAAAGGAGGGGCTCGAGGGAAGAAAACAACAACAACAACAACTTTGTGACGATGTAAATCAAGCGTATTTACATTGTTCCAGGTAATAGCAATATTAAAAACAAAACTTTCTCAAAAATGACTAAGTTTACCTTTTGTAACGCTAAATGCACTGAGAAAATGACTTCAACATCACTTTGATGTAGAGTTCACAAAAATTAAATAATCATTTTATTTTAAATATCTCTCAAATCGTTAATATTTATATTGCAGGGTTTATTTATGTATTGTTGCATTTGTGATTACAAGAGCATCAAATGATTTTCTATGAAGTTTCTCGAAAACTTGTAGTTGGAATTTCGATTCATCATTCAATTATTCATGATCGGAAATTGAGGAAGAGGTTCTGGAGCTCAAAAAATCGTGCGCAGATTGTACATTTCCCCCATACGTCAACTATAATTTTTACTGTACTTTGACAAAACAAAACACATAAAATTCAAAAGTTTTCGTGAAAATGAGCTTAAAATTGCATTTTTTCAGAAAAGCTCAAACGACATTTTGTTTCAAAAACTGCTCCATTTTTAAATAAAAATAAGACCAGATTTTACTATTCTATAACACCATTAAAGTCACATTTCTGTTCTACTATTCGAGGACCAAACATTGAGAAAGTGTGACGAAATGTTGGATAGGTTTGTGTTATACCAGGGAAGACTGTTAGAAGGTTCGACGAGATGAGAACTGGATTATGTGTAAGAGACGTGCTTTTTGTAAAAATTGGAGAGGGTTGGCCAGGATATGCCGGGGGTTTGAAAGAAATGGAATCAATTTCAGATTCTCTTGCATTTTGCATGTGTGATTGCACAGTCTTATAAATGTCCAAGTGAAGGGGCGTCAGTCCGTTTTTATTTTATTTTTATTTTTTTATTTATTATTATTATTTTTTCCCTCCTTGTTTCACGCCTGTCAAGTGAGTCGGTGGATGGAACACATCTCATGCAACTGTTCCCAGTCGCAGGTCGTTGGCCAGTTCTCACAGCCGTATTTTGTTACAACTTTAAGTCGGTAATTCACATATATACTTTTTTTTTTGTTATTTAAGGCCTCGTCAACATGTAGGTCATTAGCGACCACTATTGCTTTTAA